ATTTGTGAGAAGAAAAACCATGATAGTTCTAACCCTCTTCCTTCCCCACCTCTGGCTAGGGTCCTAGTGTGATAATGGCTGACATTTCTGAGCACCTGACAGCTGCATCCAGTCCTTACCATGGCCCTGTGAAGCAGACACCGTCCTTGGCCCTGTTGCATCGCACAGATGAAGAAGTGTGGCAAAGACAGGCTGAGAGCTCTGCTTCAGGTTGCGGCTCGCACCTGACCCTACAGGAAGCCAGCATTTTATGTGAGGGAAAGTGTCCACCTTCCCTTTGACCTTGCTTCCATTTCCCCTCTAAGAGATCACATGTGGCACCCCCTGGCTGGGCCAGCAGCTCCCACCGATTCTGTGCCCGAGAATAAAGCACAGTGGTGACCTTCTTGGCTGTTGGATGACTGACCGAGCTCCCCCAGGAGCTCCTGCAACAGGCAGAGCTGAGTGGTGCCGTGTGGAAAGCGGGGCAGAGTGGGCGAGCTGCCCTTGAAGCCACCCACTTCACACCGCACAGCCCACTGAGTGTCCCAGGGAGGGACTGGGCTTTGTTGTTCCCTGTCTGGGACCTTATTTGTGTAGCTGATTATAAATGAAGGTCCTATTGGTATTGGCGAATTTCCTTCGCTGGGCAATCTGATACAGGGCGTCTGTTCCCCTGGACACGCTGGGAGCTCGGCAGCCAGGGACTGCGCCTCCTTCCCTGTGTCCCTGAGGCTGCTGTGGGTTCTGTATTCAGCAGACTCCCTGTCAGGGTTTGTGGGACTGACCTGTACCTGCTGCTTCCTGCTTTGGTTCCAAGGAAATGGAAACCTCCTTTAAGTGTGATGACAATGTTCTGGAACCAATGTTGAGAATGGTCATTATGAATGGCCTGGATGTCCTGACAAGCAAATCTCATATTGCATGCATTTTATCACAGTGAGAGAAAACCACAGATACTTCTCCCAAGTGCTTCTTGGTCTCCATCACATTCATTCATTCATTCTTTCTTTTACTCACTCATTCATTCACCCACTGCTCTGACTGGTCAGGCACAGAGCGGACACTGAGAATGAGTGAGGTGTCGGGGGCAGTCCCTCAGGGATTTCTGCCTCCATGGGCACGTCCTGACACATGCCATCTCAGCCATCCCTCCATTCCCAACATAATCAGGAAGCTGTGGGCTTTGGACCCAGAGTGAAGGTGCCTCCCTTTCGGCTGGCGGGCCTCCAGGGCCTGGGCAGGGAGAAGGGCTGTGTAGGGGGAGGTGCTCTGAACAAGTCAGTTCAGTATGGCATCTTCCCTCTCCACACAGAGACAGAGGCAGATGGCATGTTTTCCTGGAAGGGAAGCTGCTCCAAATCAACACCCAGTCAGGAGAAAGAACATTTGAAAAAAAAAGTTGAAGTAGAAATGGAATTGATAAGCATGTCCCAAAGGAAGAAGAAATTCGCCCCTCCCCTCCCCACAGGTTGGCTCTGTGGGTGGTTGTCAGTGGACACCCTGGCTTGGTGTTACAGCCCAGGTGTGGTTTTCAGTAACTACCTGCAGGGAAGGCATTCAGGCCTTTCCCATCCACGTGTATGTTTGTGTGATGTGTGCGAATGTGTGTATGCACATTTGCGTGTGTGTGTGTGTGTGTGTGTGTGTGTGTGCACCTAGAGTGCTCTCGAAGGGCTGGGCCTGTCCTGAACCCCTCCCTGTTGTCATTCTCCTGCACTCTGTCTCTCCCCCCCCCCCCCCTTCTCCCGTCCTGAGGCCTCTGCTGCTAAGGCTTCACGACTGTTCTTAGAATACACTGTAAGCCAAGGTCAGCAAGGGAGTCATTGGTGGTGACAGCAGGACTCCCCCAGAGAACACACTGACTGTTAGTGACCTGCTCAGCTGTTGCATCGAGGACGCCTGTAAGGGCTATCTCAGACACCAGTCTCTGAAACAGCACTCTGACACGTTTATGCCTGGCCTGTTTCGGAGTCCCCATGCTCTGTACTGGTTCACACACATAGGAATTGACAAGCCAAGGAGCAAGGGTTTGGCTGCAGGAGATTTTATGTGGCAGTGGTGTTGGTGTCATGAACTCCAACCTACAGTGTTTCATGGCTGCTCCAGTTTCACAGCCGTTCCCCCCCCCCCCCCCCCACATTCCCTGTCTGGGGCCTTGATGAGGTGCAAGGATGGGTGAGGCCCTTGAACATAACCCTGGGGGTTTTGTCCCCAGTCACTTCCCCACCACGACCTCTGTGTCTGCGGTGGTATAGACTGTTCTAGATAATGCCAGAGTTTATGTGTGTATCTGTGCCTACTTATTGATTGTACATCACAGGCGTGAAGATGCCTTCGGGGGCCAGAAGAAGGCATAGGATCCCCTGGAAGTTGGGAGCCACACGACATATGGGTGCCAGAATGGAGGGAGGACCAAACTCAGGTCCTCTGCAAGAGCAGCAAGTGCTCTTAACCACTGGGAAGAAAAATCATAGGGATTTCACCCTTGAAAATGGTTCTTTAAGATAGAATAAGGAGCCAGGCATGGTGATAAATACCTTTAATCTCAATACTGGAGAGGCAGAAGCAAACATTTCTGTGAGTTCAAGGCCAGCTTAGTCTACATGGTGAATTCCAAGTCAGCCAGGGATACATAGTGACTCTCTCTCTCTCTCTCTCTCTCTCTCTCTCTCTCTCTCTCTCTCTCTCTCTTTCTCTCATCTTATAGAATGCTTCCCCAGGGTGTACGAAGGTCTGGGTTTGATCCCAGCATCACATAAACTAGGCATGGTGGTACATACCTGTAATCCCGACACTCAGAGGTGGAGACAGAAGGATCACAAGTTCAAGGTCATCCTCAACTATATAACAAATGCAGAGCCAGCCTGGTCTATGTGAGATGCTACTCCGAAAGGTATGAAAGGGGTGTGTGCAGGCAAAATTCTGTAGAGGAATCCTTAATGTTGATCAAAGGAAGCAGGCCTTTCTCAGCACCCCAGATAAACTGATACACTCAGTAATTTCTCAAGAGCATCTGGGACACATCTACTAGAAATATACTTGGGGACTGCTGCAGGCTCCAGGTTAGATAGGTCCCAGATGATCCAGTTGGCCTTCTCAATGTTTGTAGGTAACTATCTCAGGACCTCATGGTACCCAAGCCCTGTGTTCATGGGTTGGGATGTAGGGCAAGAAGAATCAGAAGCCCTGAATGGTGAGAGGGGAAGGAGAGGGTGAGGGGTGGGCGGAAAGAGGCTTCTGGCCGTGCTGGTGGCTGAGGGTGGTGGGTGGGTGTCCAGACCTCTTTACTCTGTGATTAAACCAATTTGTTTCTGTAGGGTTCATTTGTGGCAGGAAGCCCAGCCCAGAGCAGATGGGCCAGTGATTGCCATATTGGAAAGGGAATCATCTGTTTAGGGTGTGATTGTGGAACATGGAAGTCTCGGATGGAAATGCTTTAATTTGCCAAGGTCAGCACTGAGGAAAATAGGGGACCAGAGATTAAGTTTTGGGAGGCAGGGAGGTCCCGTCCATTCATGTTGTGCCTCACCATTGTCCCTTCTTCTGGAGCCACTGGGTTCAGCTCTCCCCCAAGCTCCTAGGCTCCCAAAGCCCCCAGGTTGGTCTCCCCGTGTCCTAACATGAACTTTCCCTTCTCCCTGGGGAAACATCTGTTTCAATCTGAAGCATCTTAAGAGGCAAGAGGGCTTGCCATCCTCTGTACCCAGAAAGCCCAGGAGTTAGGGTCATTAGGTGGGGCCTTGAAGTGGTGGGGACCAATGGGAAGCCTTTAGGTCATTGAGAGTGCACTTGAAGGGGACAGTGGGTCCCAGCCCCTTCTACTTTCATTTTCATGTTCTGGCTGTGATGGAATGGTTTGGCCCATGAGACTAACATGTCCCGAACTATGAACTAAAACAAAGCTTTTCACTTTATAAGCTGACCACCGCAGGTGTGTGTTCTAGTAACAGGAAACTGACAAATACAGGCCTGAAATCTTAGCCACGCCAGGTTATGACGGCAGAGAATGAAGCCTCAAGCAGTATCCTGGCATGTAAAAAGGGCGAATCAGTCCTGTAACTGACTTTTAAATCCCTAACAAGGCTTTTGGTGACAATGTTTGTGAGCAGTGACACATTTCATTCCTAAATGAAAGTGAGCCCAGATAAAATAAGTGACTTGTCTGAGGTCAGACCGTGACAAAGCTGGACCTTGTCACTAGGTCCTCTGATAGTGGGTTAATTCTCTTGTCTCTGCCCCATAATATCTGAGTGTCTCTGGTGTCATGATTCCATCTGGCACTGCCAAGCAGGGTCACCAGACCCACTGTCCCGGGACCATAAGTAGCATTCTTCAGGCCCTGACACCTACGTGTACCCACACTCCTCTTGGGCCTCTGGCCACTTGGAGTGGGTGGGAAAGCGTCACAATGTAAGTCACATCTTTCTCACTGCCATGAATGGTTTTTCTTCTGTTCATTTTTATGACCCAATTACTACTCAGAACAAAAGGAAAGAATCACTACAGAATTTACTGCATGTTTGTTTTTAATTAAATAAGTCAGGCAAGCCACCAGGAGAAGGGTTTCACATTCTAGTCCATGAAGCAGACTCCCAACACGGGGCTATCAGCTCTCAAATGAGAGTGACAGAACCCAGCATCATAGGGTTATCTATGGCCACAATGAGAACATCCGGGTCAATGGCAGACAGAGGCTTGGAGCTGTGTGTGTGGCTGCACTGGATGCAGAACAGAATGTACCCCCAACACTACACACACACACACACACACACACACACACACACACACACACGCACACAGACACACACACACGCACACAGACACACACACACAGACACAGACACACACACACAGACACACACAGACACACGCACACAGACACACACACACAGACACAGACACACACACACAGACACATACACAGACACATACACACAGACACACACAGATACACACACACAGACACACACAGACACACACACAGACACAGACACACACACACGCACACAGACACACACAGACACACACACGCACACACACAGACACACACACACACGCACACAGACACACCCACACACGTACACGTGCATGCACTCCTGAGCACACATGTACATGCCCTGACCATTCAGACTGGGAAGGAGATGTCCTGCACCCTGTAGCCATGAGGCGGGACACTGCGTCCAGTTGCTGACACAAAGGCAGCATTCATGGGACTCACCATGAAGTGGAGGACGGTGCTGAGACACAGGGACCAGAATATGCAGGAGAGGTAGAGACTTCACAGGAGGCAAAGTTCAAGCCCAAATATAGTGGGAGCCAGTAACACAGATGCTCTGTTTGCCTAGTCAGAGGCTGATCCACAGCACTAGGAAGGCCCTAAAGTAGCACCATGTCTCAATCTTTAGGAATGCATAAGAAGTCTGTCCCCACGTAGTGACAAGGACACAGGTCAAAGGATCTTGACGCTCTTAAGACACTGGAGTTACAAGCTCTGCCTCGTACTTTCGAGGTAAGGAATGGTTCCATTATCCCAGGGAGTGTTTGGGGTTGGGAGGGGATGTGACTGTGCTCGGGGAACTCACCGCCTCCTGGCATCTCACTGAGCCACGCCGCAGAATCCTCACAAACAATACACCAGCTCCAGCCCCGATTTTAGTGGAGTTCCTTCTTCCCATGTGTACAGGTTAGCAGGACCCATTTGGCTTCTTGGAGGTCTGGTCCCTAACCCTTTCTCTCCCTGCCTCAGAGCCACCCCTCTGCCATTGTGGTAGACGGACATGAGACTGCCTTGGGGATGTTCCTGTCCTCTCAGGGGACAGGCTCTAGTGTGGAAGAGAACTGAGGGACTTGGGGGCGTGGAATTAAAACCACCTGGTGCTCCTAACTCCTCCCTACCTCTACTTATGGCAAGAGAGCCAATGGCTTTCAGTGGGTGCATCTTCCACCATGGGACAGACACCCCCAACGATTAGGAGTCACTGTGGTATGCCACCTGGGTGTTCTTTGATCTTTGATCCCTAGTGGTCCCATCCCACCAGTAAGGCCATTTTCTCCATCTAGCCCTATCCTAAGAGCCCCTAAGCGTAATTCAGCACTTCACCTGAAAAGATGCCCAATAGTTTTCCCCAAAGTGTCATTCTCCAAACCTGAGGGCTTGTCCCGGGTGGCTGACCCTCAAGGGGTGTTTCAAGGCAATCAAGGTCCACCCACCCATCCCCCTGCCTGAGTTGTTCTGTTGCTGCAGATACATGAGCAATGGAAATGCAGCAGAGGGCCCTGCTATTGAACTTCTGAGCAATAATAGACCCACGGAACCTCTTTAGCATCCTGGCCTTCCACGAGCTGGTCCTGTCTCATCTTCTTTGTGGTCCCCAGGTGTCCTGATGTGTGAGTGTCATGCAAATCGCTCCTATTGTTGTTATGAGTATTTGCACTTCTTGATTAGGTTGCAGCTTTGCACCTAATACCCTCCCTTCTTTCCACAAAATAAATAAAGTCAACTTGCAGTGCACACAACATTGTCAATGTCCTGAGAAGTCCCAAAGGTTCATTGTGGGGGTCTGTCCTCAGAGAGCTGAGACATGGAGGCCTTGGCTCCTGGGACAGGGAAAGGGAAGAACACTCCCAGGCCAGCCCCTCCCACCTCACATGCAGTGCAGAGAAGGGAATGTGTTCTGCATGGGGGGACATGGAGAGAAGATATCTGAACCCCTAAGCCTGCCCACAACTTCATGTCTCTATCAAGTACCAAGAGCTAGTGTCCCTTTGACCCCAGGGAGGAGCCAGTCTTCTATACACTTGGTCTTGGATTGTCAAAACTCTAGAGCAGAGGTTGGCTGGATTGACTCTGCAGTTCACCTATGCTTGGGACCAGCAGCTGAGCAAGCAGATAACAAACCCTAAAATGTGGGGAATGTCCTGCCATTGTCCCTTCCCCCACACCAGTACCAGCTATGCCTGCTTTCCTGCCACACATCCGATGTCTGCCTTCCTCACACCAGCTCAGTCCTGGGCTCTGACGGTACCAGATGTAGCAATTGTCCAGAAAAATCAGTGTGGCAACCAACCCCTACTGCAGAAGTCCGAGGCTAGCCTGGGTTCCATGCCTCAGCTTGCATAGAGAGGGAAGAGCTTCTGCCTTGGGGAATCTAGCTGCTCAGTCAAGAGGTCTCTGCAAGCCCCCCTCCTTTCCTTTGGCCATATGTTGGGGCTTATAAGAGATTTTCAAACAACCTGTTTGGAGAAGTACAGGCTGCTGTGGGCACTCAGAGACACTAGGCTGAGGCTTTAACTTTTGTCTTTATAGAGTTTGACCTCTAAATCAATATGTAGGTTGAACTTTTGGTCTCCATCTTCTATTTCTCTAGTGCTGGGATTACAGGCATGAGATTACAGGCATGGGATTACAGGCATGTGCCATCACACCTGGCTGATGTGGTACAGGAACTTAAACCAGGGCTTCATACACCCTAGGCCAACACTATAGAAACTGGGTTACAGACCCAGGGTCCAATGGCATCTTCTAAGAATCATCCCACATGGAATTCACACAGAAAAGCTTGTGGGGCCCTAGGGGGCTCTGAGTGACTTTGATCCTCCAAGGAGAAGGCCCCTCCTTCTGGTCTATCCCTTTACCAGGAGCCTCAATCAGCACTGAATAGTGTTCCTACAGAAATAAAGCCAAAACCCACCATAAAACAAAAACAGCACCACACCATAAATAACTTTAAAAACCCAGATAAAATACCCACCCATCTTCCCAGAGCTCCAAAGTAGACATTCCTTTTAGACACTAGCTGTAACCATGGCAACCTGAGGGCTGACCTCTGTTATCTTGGAGGGAAGTAGCAGGCTGCTCAGGGAAGCTGTGTCTTAGTGTAATGTTTCCCTGCAGAACACTCTGATCTTCTTGGCTGCCTCTAGATGAGGTCTGACTGGAAACAGAAGGCCTATGAGCTATCTTTTGCTTTCAGGGACCAAAGCTGGGCCTGCTGGCTAGGCCTCAGGCAGCCTTCAAAAATGAAGTGAGCAGGATATGGGGTCTTTGGACTGTAGTCATGCGAAGTCCGGCCATGCCATCTCTAAATACTCTGCCTCCCAGCTGTGTGCATGGGTCAGAGGAGGTAGCCATGGCAACCCCAGATGCTTAGGGGTGGGTCAGAGACCATCATTCCATTCCAGCTCTGGTCAGGGTAAAGTGTCATTGTCCCTGAATACGCCCCCTCTCCATATAACCCTAAAAATGACTCCTGTTTAGATATGTGATACAGAAAAAAAAACCAACCCCAAAACAAATAATAAAAACCACTGAGGAGAAAGAATGGGAAGGTTTCCTATGTCAGCGTGTGTATGATTATGTGTGTGTGTGAGTTTATGATGCTTTGCTGTCTCTCTCTGCTGTACGTACATGTATGTCTTGTTTTTCCTTATTTTCTAGTGCTGGGGCTCAAACCCAGGGCCTTGTGCATGGGAGGCAGGGGCTTTACCACTGAGCCACACGCCCAGCCTTGCATCGTCTCCTCATGCACTTTCTGTGCCTTGCTCTACCCAGGCTGATATTCATGATTAGCTGGAACAGCTAATCAAACCGTTTCATATCAGTTGGTAAACAGCCATTGTCACCCTAGGCTACTCCTCCTTCCAAAGGACTCAGCCGGATCCCAGACTTTTCTGACTCAGAGAGGAAAAGGTTAACACTCAATATAGCAGGAGATCTGAGCTGAGTGGAGAGGGCCTACGCCCTTCTGGTTGTTAAATGTTTGGACTCTGGCCCACACAGCCTACAGGCCATTGTGTGCTCCATATATGGTTCTGTGACATTGTGAGACCGAGCTGAGAGGTGTGTCATACACAGGAACCAGCCTGGGTCTATGTGGGACAATGCAAGCCATAAGGTGTGTGGGAATGACCGGTACCACGAAGGAGACAGGGCACTGCAGTCCTCGGAGGAGCCCCCACGGTCCTAGCTGCGGCCGCGCTGGGGGAAGGCAGCTGGCGAGAGCCCTTTCAGCTCCAGCCAGAGCCTGTGCTCACATCACCACTCCCCATTTTGACTCCCTGCCAGTGCTGTGTCTCACTGCCAGGCTGGGTGTGAGGGAAGCAGGGCCAGCATTTCACCAGAAGGGATTCCCGGGACCTCCCCAGCATCCTCCACTACGTGACCCAGAAGGTGCCCCGCTCCTCCAGCAGGCTGATGGAACGGTTGGTGAGCGAGGCGGCATCCCTGGCCAGCTTGTAGCCAAAGAGGCGCATGGCCGGGCCACAAACGGCCTGCACCACCTCTGCCAGCTTGAAGGGCATGCTGAAGCGCCACTTCTCGAACTGCTCTGAGGAGTTCTTCTGAGTAGAGTAGACGTCACTGCTGTCGCGGGCCGCTTGTGTGTTCTTCTGGATCCAGTCCTCCACCTGTGGGGTCAAGGGGATGCCCGCGAAGCCGTACATCTCTCTGGCCTTTTGCAGTGGCCTGCGTGCCACGTCCTCGTAGCGAACCAGCATGTAGCGACCACGCAGCCAGGCTGGCTGCTGCAAGCCCAACTCTGCAGACAGGCGGATGCTCTCACAGTTGCCCCGTAACCGCTGCACCTCATCCTCGCTCAGCCGGTCCTGCCCCTCTGCCAGCCACTTCTTCCAGTTCTCGTACTTGCCCGCGAAGGCCACCATGCGTGAAGCCAGCACCGCCCGGGGGTCGCGCACCAGCTGGATGACTCGCAGGTCTAGCCTCGGGTCCTCAGCCAGCGGCTGCAGGAACTCCAGCTGACGGATGCGCACGGCCTTGAGGGCCATGTGGTCCTTGCGGCGGCAGGCCTCTGCTGCCAAGGTCACGTTGAGTGGCCCGCAGCGACGGTTCCTGCAGTGGTACTTCTCAAAGACCTTCTTGACGAAGGGTGTGCACACTGGATCTTCGCAGAGCGAGCGGCTGGATCCCCGGCGGAACAGGAACTGAGTTAAGTGGTCCTCGGGTGGTGGACTGATGAAGGGCTCCAACACATACAGGTCGCACAGCAACAGCTGCTTGAGGACATCGCGGTAGACCAGCGCCGAGGCCGCCGCGCTGGCTCCTCCCTGCTGGAAGGACACGGTGCGCTCGATGTGCCACAGTGGCTCGAAGAGGTAGAAGATATTGCCCTGCTGGTTGAAGAACTCACCCACGAACGAGGAGCCCGTGCGGGTGGTGGCCATGAGGAGCACGTGGCGCCGGTGCGGGATGGCTCCAGCCTGCGGGGATGGCTTCTCTGCTGCAGCTTCCGGCCCCTGGGCCTCCATCACTGGCTCCACGCCCAGCTGTAGGCTGAGATTGTACAGACGGCTCTGCAGCTGGGAGAAGGCAGAATCCAGTTCGCTCAGGGACAAGAGAGATGCGTTTTCCGATAAGAGCAGGGCTGGGTCCGTGCTGTTGGCATCTGTCACAAATTGAGGGATCTGCTTCAGCTTGTCCGAGACCCTGAGCCGGGGGTAAAGGGACAACAAGGTCTGTGACTGATTTGGGAGGCCAGCCCCTGTACTATTTATTCTAAAATGTTAGTTGGGTCCCTCCAGAGCAGGCCTAGAGGCTAAGGTTTGAGTGTGGTTTCTTTGGCATAAACCCAAGGGTGACTCAGTGAATCGGTTCATACGGGCCCACTTTCACTAAAGGACTCGGGCACTTTACCTTCTGACACTTCTGGCTTGTCTGGGACAAGTCGGTAGCAGCTTCAGGAGAGTTACAAAGTATTCGACAAACATGAGCTGATTCATTTCCAGTCCTTAACCTAATCTCCCTGGCGGAAGCCTTTATGCAGGGCTTTGAATCTGGGAGATCAGGACTGAGAAATGCCTCTGTGTCTAGCAGGTCCATGTCACGCAGCGATACACTGCCAATCCAAGGAGTACGTAGCCTATTGAGGGTCACTCCCCTGGAGTTGAATGACACACAATCTGAGTGGTCACCCATGTTGACCAGAGTGGCCATAGCAGAAACCTGCTTCCCATGGGCTCAGCTTCACTCATGACATCAAGACTTGAGGAGGGGACTTGAACCGGTGCTATAATAAAAAGTAAGGTAGGTCATACTAGCAAAGACCCAACATCAGCCACATGGCGGCCACAGGGAAAATGTGGTTACATTTTCTGCACGACTCTCTCCACAAGGTGGCGTCATTGCGCTAAAGTGAAGTGTCTTGCCTACACTCTTGCAGTTGAGAAGGAGCCATAGCGGGTGGTGGTGCCAGCCCAGGCCGCCCAAGTCTCACTATTGTACACGTGATCTCAGCCTAAGCCACAGGAGGGGCCTGGTGACGGATTGTAGAAGGGATGCAGTTCCTGATTCCCTGAAAACTCTAGGGTCACCTCTGTCCTTGGGCCCCCCACCTTGATAAAAGAGACCCATGGTTGAGTTCCTTACCTGGATATGATTTTATTTTCCTTTTCAATGAAGACAAAAACTATCACCACAAATGCCAGGAACAGGGCGTATTTGCCCCGAATCTTCAGACTATGTACAAAGTCCTGGGGCAAAGTGAGTCCTTTCTCCATGGGAAGAGGTGGGGTCATGGGGCTCCTCAGGCTGGCTGCAGACACTCAGCTCAAGGGCATGGCATGGGACCCAACTTGTCCTCTTCAGGTGGGGGACACACTCATTCTGCAAAGAGACAGGTACTCAGGGCATCCCTGTCTATAAACGGGGGCCAGAGACATTTTTCCACCAACGTTTCAGGAGAGACCCCAGGCCCACACTAAACCAGACTTCAGGTGCCCTCGTCTCTCTTTGAGACGGGCTTTCTCTGTGTAGTCCAGGCCAATCTGCACCTCTTTATCCACCGATCCCAACCCCCTAAGAGCTGGGACTGCAGGTGACTCCATCACACCTGGTTGGGGTTTCTTTACCAGGTCATTTAAAGGTCAGAGGCCAGCATTCTGGAGGGAAGGCAGGAAGAGTCGGGAGTTCAAGGCCTGCTTCACCTACACAGTGCATTTGAGACCAGCCTTTTGATCCTGCCTCAAAACAAACAAACACCAAAAATAGGTGCTGGAGAGACAGCTCAGGGACTAAGAACCCTCAATGCTCTTGCAGAGGACCCAGGTTCAATTCCCAGCACCTGCATGGCAGCTCACAGCCACCTATAACTCCAGTTTCAAGGGAACTGATGTCTTCTTTGCCTCCATGGCCATTGCATGCCTATAGTACACAGACATAGAAGCAGGCAGAGCACTCATGCATAGATAAATCTTTTTTAAAAAGTCCTATGATTTAGGAAAAAAGGCACAGCTTCCAGCAGCTGCTAGTATATCCAATAAACTTTGCTCACTTTCCCTTAAAAACAAACAAGCAGAACGGCAGTAAAACACCTAAGATGCTAACCAGGAGCCAGGATGTGTAGTACAGACCTGTAGACCTGGGAAACTAAAAGAAGGAACATCTTTTAAAATTCAATGCTAGTTTGAGCTACAGAGTTCTGCTGGGCCAGACAACTACATAATGAGGCCCGAATGAATGAATGAATGAATGCATGAATGAATGAATGACAAACCCTTTTACCTACCCCATTTCCCTGAGTTTCTCTGTTGACCTCATAGGTTAAAGGCAAGCACAGTCAAGCATCACACAGGATATTTAGATAAAGGAGAGCTTAAGCCACTGGCCCCCACAGTTATAATGGAGTCACGGAGCTGCAGAATCCTGATTGGTTAATGACATCACAGCTACCGTTGTCACCTGTTGTGATACTAGTGTAAACTAACCTGCTGAGCTACCTGTCACACCAAAGCATAACACAGGGTTGTGGCTCAGTTGGTCCAGGGCTTACCCAACATGCACGAAGGACTGGGTTAGATCCCCAGCACGGCATACAACCAGCAGTGGTGACACATACCTGTAATCCCGGCCTTCGGGAGCTGGAGGCAGGAGGATCACAAGTTCAAGGTTAGCTTTAGCTACAAAAAACACAGTATGCTGGGATAACTTGTTGGTCTTATGCTTCCAAGAGTCTCTGGGTTGCACAAAGATGTCAAAAGGAGCTGAGGATTGTGGCTCAGTGGCAGAGCACTTACAGGGAGATGAGCAGGGGATAGGACCCAGCTATCTTCTCACCCTAGAGTCTAGCACCTTTGGCAAGATTGATGAGTTGATTGGACCTGATGGTCACACATCTGCAATCCCAGCTGCTCGGCTGGCAGGGGCAAGAGGATTGCAAGTTCAAGCCCTGTCTGGGCAACTTAGTAAGACTGAGTCTCAAAAAACCAAAAGTGAAAAGAGGACACGGAATGAAGCCCAGGGACAAAGTGAGTGCCTGGCATGCTGGAGCCCCAGGCACAAGCAGAAACAGTCAGGTTTAGGAGTTAGGCTGACAGTGTTCCTAGGAGCTCTGGCACTGCCAGGAAGAAAGAAGGCTGAAATGAGCAGAAATGAACAGGCTGGCAGTTCCTTCACCAACCTCTGGCAGGATGTCCCTGTGCAGCCTTGAATGCCTAAGGGCCAGGTGGCTAGCCAGGAAAGGGAAGGATATAGGTTCTGAGGAGTAGGTAAGAGAACCCCAAAGCCAGGGGTCCACAGGGTCATGAGGGAGAGAGAGGGGACCCAGATTGGGACTCACTCAGCAGGATGCCCCTGTTAGGACTCACTCGGCAGGATGCCCCTGTAAGAAGAGGGTTGTAACATGGATGAATTGGTATGCTACCTCCCTCCTGGGGTTGATAAGCACATTCAGGTCCTGTGTCCCTTTCATGGCTGGAAGTTTCTGCTGCCTCCTCCCTTGGTGGCCTTCTCAGCATCCACGCTCTCATCTTTCAAATCTCCCTGCCGAGGTGCCACTACAGTCTACCCCTCCAGCATGTCATGGACACGGACACGGACACACACACACACACAACCAAAACACCAATCTGCCAGGCATGGCAGTGCATGCCTTTAATCCTAGCACTTGGGAGGCAGAGACAGGTAGATTTCTGAATTTGAGGCTAGACTGATCTACAGAGTGAGTTCCAGGACAGCCAGGACTACACAGAGAAACCTTGTCTCAAAAAGTCAGAAGAAGAAAGAGGAGGAGGAAGGAGGAGGAGGGAGGGAGGGAGAGAGAGAGAGAGAGAGAGAGAGAGAGAGAGAGAGAGAGAGAGAGAGAGAGAGAGAGAGAGAGAGAGAGAGAATTTACAACTTTTGGATACTATAGCACAAAGCCATGAAGTCATACTAGTTATTGATACAACACTGAACTTAGTCTCCTTCTAACTGCCCATGCTTGGAATTTATGTGTGCACTCATGATTTATTGTCTCTCAATAATAAACCTAGTTCTGTTCTACATAGACTTGTCCTGAAAAATAATTTTGAAATCTGAGTTTCGCCCTAGTGGAGGTCACTAAGGAGAGGGACGTGAATGAAAGGATGGATGGATGGATGGATGGATAGATGGGTGGGTGGATGGATGGATGGATGGATGGATGGGTGGGTGGGTGGATGGATGGATGGATGGACGGATGGATGGGTGGATGGATGGATGGATGGATGGATGGGTGGATGGATGGATGGATGGATGGGTGGATGGGTGGGTGGATGTCTGTCCAATAATACTTAGCCGAGTGTATGATGCTTACATTCTGTGTTGATAGACAGTACCAGGGGAAAGAGGAATGCTCACTAGTCTGACACATGAGTGAATCACATGGGGAAGCGCACACTGGGCATCTGCAGTGAGCATCTGCTAGGATTCAGAGTAGGTGGACCAAGGGTAAAACGTCACTTTTTGGGCTTGAATTCTCATTTCTTGGGGACTTTCTGCTCAGGACTCTGACAGCTGTGTGCTTATGATGGGGAGGGTGGGAAAGGCCCTGTGGCAACTGGTGGCTCAGAAAGGGAGGGAGGAAGGGAGCTGAGGTGGACGAGCCTTGCCAAGCAGGACACCAGCTGCCCTTCCCTACTGCCACCTCAGGGGTCTTTCTGTTCAGGCCTCTCCCATGACTTGGCAAACCACCTCCCTGGAGATCTGGTCCCCGTTTGGATGGCCTCCAGCCAGGCTCTTCCACTGAGACCCCTGATGGACTGCAGTCCATCCCTGACTCCATCCTTCTGGTGGGGTCCCAACTAGGAGACTGGGAGTGAAGCTCCGATAAGGGGCCGTGCCTTGCCAGACATTGCATCAGACACCAAGACTCCACTCCCCTCTCTCTGGAACCCAGAGCACGGCAGAGACAGCCTCAGCTGTTACATGCCTGTATCACCGCTTTTCCAAGTGGAAGGGAGGGGCCCCACAGGCGGAGATGAAGGATTGCCCACTGTGGGAAAGTTGTGAGTTCACTTATGGAGGCCAGAAGGCTGATCCCTCTGCGTGGCCCAATTGGAAGTGGGCTTCTGTGAGAGCTGTCCTTGGATTCCTAGAGAGTAGACAGGAGGGCAGGGTCCTGGGACTCTGCCAATCCATTGGTCAATCAGGATGGAGAAAAATGACACCAAAGTTACCTGTTTCTGATGAGCTGGGTTTGTCCATGCACTGACCTGTCCAGGCGAGACCCTGTTTCTTAGAGATGGCCTGGAAGAGCACCCTCCCCCATCCCAGCCCAGTATCATGACTTTAGTTCTGAGGACACTGGCGGCTAAGTACATAAATGAAGAAGAGAATGAGGGTGAGGATGGGATTGCAGATCTGGCTAGTGTTCAGCATCCCAGCATCCCAGCATCCCAGCATCCCAGCATCCAGCATCCCATCCAGTATGTCAGCATCCCAGGGCTCCAGCTTCCTTCTCTAAAATGAACACATTTTCCCAGGCGCAGTGCATGCCTATAATCCTGGCACTTGGGAAGTGGAGGCAAGATGACCAGGAGGTCAAGTGCACCCCCAACACACACAAAATAAATCAATATTTTTTAAAAAGACAAAAACAATGAGTCCATTTACAGTTTCTGGTGTGTGTCCAACCGCAGCCAAGACAGCGGAGCAGAAACAGTCAAAGGCAAAGGTGCCTGTGTACTTATAAGGAGTATGGACCTGAGCCATGGTGGACTATGGAGCTAAGTGCTAGCCTAATGGAACTACGAGGTAACCCTGGCAAAAATCAGTCCAAGGCACCCCATCACCTTTCATGCATGTAAATGAACACAGAAACATGCTTTCTATATCTCCACCCAACAGTCACAGTTGCTTGAAGTCCAAGGCCTGGAGAACACTATCCTGCCCCGCCCTGCTAGGCCTAGCAACCTGCCATTAGCTAGCCAGTGCGGCATGGTGCCTGGTGCTCAGGCTGCCTTCAGCCACTCAGCAGGCAGCCTGGGGAGTGGTCCGCTCTATTCCAAACTAACCCTGGACTCCAGCCAGGCAAAGCAATGGAATGTTCCACCAGAGGGAATCAACTACCCATGGGGCTCAAAATGCTGAGGCAGCTACAGAGATGCTGTTGGCAATTCTCATCTTCCCGTGGGGTTAGTATTTTGACAATCACATGCTTGCCTCACTTTGGAACATTCCAAGCTTCAGAAAAGGCATGGAGGAGCATCCTAGGAGTGGTATGAGAAGTGCAGGGGTTGGGCTGGGGATACAGCCTAGTTGTAGAGTGCTTGTCTAACATGCATGAAGCCCTGGGTTCCGTCCATAGCACTCCACCCAACTGGGCATTGTGGCATCACACACTGTGGCACACACTCAGAAGGTGGAGG